ATTCACTTTTGCACCCCTGTTCAATAAACACTTAGGGAAGTGAGATTATATTTCCATATAAAAAGCCTAATAATTACAGGGAGGAGGATGATGGGAGTTACCCTTATCAAAGGAAATGATAAGGGACTAGCAGGCCCCGTGAAAGAACAGGGTCCATTTTGATATAATTGGCAGTGGAATTATTTATGACATTAATTGCCACATTATCGACTGGCTGTCAGGTCCTGTGTCAGTCTGTCCATATTTCTTAGCAGAAAGAGCCAGCTCAGCCTGGTGTCCACTGACAAGCTAATTACAACAGCACAACCTTAAATGACAAATGTTACTCATCGAGGACTGGCCAGGCCCGGAAATAAGGGCCGCTTCTCCCCCTCCAGCCTCCCTGGATCAAACAAGACTGCAGCGTGCTGCCAAATGCAGTCAGGTGCAGGAATGACAGGGATGCATGTCAGACAGAGAGAGAAACGGATACAGATGGAGGAAGAGAAGAAGAAAGGGAGGTAGATGCTTCTCAAGAAAGCATCCACTATATATGTTGGACAGTTGTCATTCACAAGGATGTCTTTTTATTGCCTCCTTCTTTTGGTTGACTAATGTCAATCAATCATCAGGTGGTAGCAGGGGGAGGGGGGGTTGGTGGGTGGTATTGTCTCTCGCTGAAGGTCCCACTGCTTTTAAAAAAGTTTATTATACAAATAATTAAGATCAAGCCACACATGTTTTACCAATCTTCATTGGTAAAGCTCTCCAGTTTGGCTAGCAAGAAACTAGCTTTGTAAAACTGTACTTATAGGAGGGACAACGGTGAAGGAAGGCAATGCATTACTGTTGCTCCTCATGTTAAGGATACCTCCTTAAAAAATAAAAATCCCACAATCATTTATACTCCTGGAAGGTTTTGATTTTATTTTATTCAATCAAGAAAATTATTTCTGATTAAGAAAGTGAGATATGACGGATGTAAAAGGAGTATCTAATGTCAAAAATAATTTGGTTTTAATGTACATTTTATTAGAAAATGGTATTTAGAAATATATCTATACCCTTCTCAATGAACAGTGGAAAAAAGTGGCTTTGCAGAAGTTAAACTCCTTCATCAGTAATGAGCTCCACTTTTTTGATATTGGAAAGCTTCCTGGCAATCATCCTATTCTTTAGAATCAAAAATCCTCATTTGTTTCCATGTGAAATTTTTCCCCGGAAAGGGAAAACGACTACTACACCAAATAAAACACACAGCCCACAACATAAAAAATAATAAAACATATCCCACGTCATCAGCATTCGGGTAACCTCTCCATCCTCACTGCTAACAACAACTGGATTTTTACAGAGCTATGCTTCGTCTCTAAAGAATAAATAAAAAAAACACAAAAATAAATAAATTAAGGATTTGTCAATATGTCTATAGATACTTTATCAGCTTCAAGCTTGGATTCTGGCTTGGCTTCTTCAATACACCAAAATTACCTTTGGGTACAAGAAACATCTATCCATTTCCTGCTGCTTGCCCATCGAGGTTACAGGGAGTTGGTACCCATCTCCAGCAACCTTTGGGTAAACGGTGGAGTAAACCCAAAGTCACCAGTCCATCGAAAGGCAACACACAGACACACATGCACACACAAATAAGGGTAATTTAGAGACAATAATGAACCTTAGTCACATTTTTGGACAGTGGAAAAAAGATTCACACTCACAGGAAGAAATTTACATTAGTAATATTGAAAGATTAAACATTATTTTGCCAGAAGTAGGGATAAGTTTTGGCCTCTGTAACTGTTGTGGAAAATAGTGAATTAGGAAAATAATTAATAATTTATCCATTTAATGCATGCATGTGGGATCTAGAGCACTTTTATATTTTAAGGTTAAAAAAGAAAAAAGGGAACTTTTTTTCTCTAAAATAAATATGGTTTATCTTTACTTAACATAACTTGGTGGATTTTATTGTATTTGAACACATCTAGGAAAGCAGAGAATACCAGCTGTAAATAATATTAATAATTCAATCATAAAGGTGGTTTTAAAGTTCTTTAAATATTTTATAGTTATCAAGCTTTCAATTTCTTTTTACAAAACAAACTACTAAACATGAGATCAGCAGGTTCAAGTTTTACAAACATTAGGATCCCACTTAAGTGTGCTTGGTACACCTTCAATATAATAGAACCATTAAAAAAGTACCACTAAATCAGGCTTCAGTTTAAATTTGACAGTGGGATCATGAAGATTGCTCAACATTTATTTTAAATTGCACAACTATGCAACTCGCGTGTCATAAATAAACACAACTGTGCACAGGCAGCTAGCCAAGGCTTATAAAAACATGAAAGGTTGAGAGTTAGACCATCTATTTAAGGGTACCCATTCAGGCAGAGACATGTCCATACACTAGTGGAGCCTGGGGGGCTACTGTATCAGAATGTCACTGATCTGCTGCAATGAAGTGGTGTGCCTTTTGTTCATCCACCAAGTTCCCAAGATGCAACAACAGCGTCAGAGCTGGGGGTCAATAGGGTCATTGCCTACAGGTAGATCTGTGGCTCATACCTTAATTAATCTACTGTCTGTGTTGCAGAGCATCCCATTCGTCCCTTAACATGCACAGAGGAGCACGTCAAGCATATGTCAACCCGCTATGGAACTCCCCACCCACCCTGTAATGCAGTTTGTGTTGGTGTGGCAGTTCAAGATGCGTCCTTGACAAGGATGGGAAGTGACACACACCAAACTCGGTGTGTCCCCCAGCCAGCTCCGGTGGCTCGGAGCCTGTCAATTCCAGCTCCGTCAGTGGCACAGGCTCAATGGCAGTGCCTGTGACACATGTCACAAAGTTTTAAATGTCTGCTCTTTTCAGCAGGATGGCTGGGCGCGCGCCGCAGCCAGGGGAAGGATGACATTTTGTGTTGTGTGGGGGGGGAACTTGTTGTGGCTCCCCTCTTCCTGCCTCCTCCGGCTGTCAGCCTTAGTTTCCTCTGAGCATATCAAAACACAGACAAATAAACCTTGTCATTTTGAAGCGCCAGCACTAGTGACCAGCCTCCTGAGCGGCATGTCATCTGGAATATGGTCACACAGTCCTGTAGGAGGTTGTGAAGTGTATAAGCACATGCAAGAAGGTACTCTTTCACTCTTCTTCTCACACACACACAAGCGTCTCAGAAACTGGAACGCATCTTTAAGCTAATAAAAATAAACAAAGAAAGACAGTGAACAAACATTGCATTAGGCTATCTCTGACCTTTTCTCTGTCTGTTTGTAGATGAGTGACATGCTGTGCTAAACATAAACATGGTTGCTTTCAAGCCCCACAGACATCAAAGCTCTTCATGTCTCCATCTCATCACCAATTTGTAGTCCTTCCCCTCAATAAAATCTAGCCTTCATAACGAATGAAAAATCTTTAATGTTAACTACTTTTGCAGCTGCATTATCGAGTAAAATGAGCTAATTATTTTTGATTAACTTTATAGGCTTTGGAAAAATATTAAAATTTTCTTGTGAGGCATCAATGTATTGTACGGTGCAGATTGAGATGTGAGGAAAAATGAATAAGCCCAAACACATCTGAGTTCAGCCCTTTTAATCACACGAAAGTAAAACATTTACTTCAGCTGTTAGAAATCAAATGTTTGTTCAAAATCATAAACTGGAAGGTGTGCTTGACACCTTTCTAACCTACTGCTGTGTTAAGGCACAAAGAGAGACAGTGTACATGACTAACAATAATACAAACATAACAAAATTCATAAAAACGAGATAAACAATTAAAAATACCACTGTATGTTTTCATATGTTATTTATATTTGAAGTGCATCTCAGTACAAATAAAAAAAAACATAAGTAGTATAAAAAGAGCCTAAGACATGAAAAGGAAACATCAACAGGATTAAAAATGATAATGATAAATGGAGCAAAAAGTTTTTGCATAAAAATTCAAAATACCTTAGTCTATGTAAAACAGGTCCAATACTACCTGTATATTTTACACCACATTTGGTGGGTTTGATCCATGCAAATGGAAAGAAAAGTCAGTGCAAGAGAAGCTGAGCTGTTTCAACCAAACATCAAATACACATTTTGATGTAACCCAGATTGTTTGGTTATAAAGGAGATTTTAAAAAAGCTTCATCAGTCGTCATAGAGCGCAGATTTTGACTTCTTGTGTTTATGAAAGAAGAAACAGTAGATTGGTAAAGTCATGTTGTATGATAAGGTTTTAGTTTTGTGTAGAAGATTTTAGTCAATTTTTTCCTTATGAGTACATCATCAAGGTGGTAATTTCATTTGATCAGTATAAAAGATAGACAGGTGGATACAACTTGTTCATTAATTAGAGCATTAATTGTTTGGAAATCCAATTTTTGATTCTTCTTTTCAACCCACTCTTTGTAATCTTAATTTTAGACACTTTTTTTCCCCAAACAATTATATGGTTCATATAACCTGTTTAATTATCTTTGTATTGATATTTGACATGAGATGTTGGTGACTTGTGACATTTGTCAAACTTTTGCATGATGGTCATTTAATACAAAATATCAAAAACTTTTCAATCAAATGATGCCTAAGATAAAAGCTGAATTTGGCAATCAGTTCTCAATCAGAAACATCAGAGTGCGAACTTAAGAAAATGGCAATTAAAGTAATAAATACAGGAAATCTTTTCATTAGTCCTTCTATTGTTTTCATAGTTCTGGACCTTTTGGTCCTCACCAATTTATGTAATGGAAAGAATTTACAACCTTTACAAAACATGCCTCATTTATTCTAATCTAACAATTTTTGTTTGGAGATGAAAAAACAAAATATAAGTGCAGACGTACATTAAAATATAAACTAAAACACACATTTCCAGAAAATTATGTTATTTACTGGGTTAGTATCTGAAATTATTTGAATATGCTCACATTTTGGAATAAGCAATAATTTAAAACTACCTGTGTGTGTAGATCTATGAAAATATTCAATTAGTGCTCAAAATATATACTTATTCTTGTAAATGTACGTTTTCATTGTTGATTTGCAATTGACAATAATCAATTAAATGTTTTTATCTAAGACCCTGGGTCATCAGCTCTTGTTAATTAACTAACCGGAAATCTGACCATTATGTTTGGATAAAAAATATATTTTCTATTTATTGGTGAATACAACATAAATTCAGACTTGGGCTTAGTTTAACAGACTGAATTAAACTGTTTCTGGAAAAAAACAAAACAGGAATTAGTAAAGCTTTATGTTTTGAGGGGAATTCAGCTAATTAGTGGTTCAGACGGGGCCAGAGATTTCACATGATGTAGTAGCATAAATTCCCATTCAGCTCTCGAACATATAGACAGCAATAGGCATAGAAAACTATTTTTAGCTCTTAATAATAATAATAAAAAAATTAAATGATTTACTACCTAGCAAAGCCAAAATATGGGATTTTGCTTTGCATGTTACTAGTTCTCAGCTGTAACTTCCATTCATTTGCTATTAAGACTTTGCCTAATGATAAAAAAAAACAGTTGTGAGGGCAAGCCTCAGACAAGCAATGGCAAAAAAAAAGAGAAAAAAGAATGAAGAAGATGACTCCACTTCAGGGCCCAGGTGTGTGACCGCCACCCTTTTCACCCTTGATTAGTAGCTGCAGTGAACAAGTGATCCATCATGGGTGTCCAAGAAAAGGAAGCAATTGGCTGGGTATGTTTGTTACTGCCTGTGTGTTAGACCATAAGGTAGGGAACCTGTCCTTGTGTGTGTGAGAGAGTTGTGTTGCAGCTGATGCTTAGAGGCAATCATGTCAGTGGGAGTGTCATCTCTGACTCTGAGCTGAAAGCAGGCAAACAGATGTACGCTCGGCTCAGGAGAGGATACTGGAACAGTGGCTCTAATATGCACTATAAAAAAGGAGGCATTCAATGTACACAAAAACAACAGCATATTTGGATATAAGGGATCTTATTCCAGCAGTGGATTAGGTGAATGAATTAAATCCACCAAGGTTTTAATAAATAAAAAAAATGACCCCTTTGAGAGCTTCTTGTGGACATCAGAGCTGATCGTTTCGGATGAATCTGTTGCCTTCTGAGTGCTTGCCATAGTAGATGTAGCGACACTTGGCAAATACCCCTAAAAAGAGAATAAGACAAAAATAGTTTAGGTGGGAATCATGACTGGACATGCACTTTGCTCTTAGAGCTATTGTTCTTAATGATGCTAAATGAAGAAGTAAGAATTATTAGTTGTGAGAAGTTCTTTGAATGGCAATGGACTGGGGACCTGTCCAGGGTGTACCCCGCCTCTCACCCGCAGACAGCTGGAGATAGGCACCAGCAACCCTCGCCACCCCGCTTGGGATAAGCGTGATGGAAAATGAATAGATTGATGGAAGTTCTTTGAATAGAACCTGTTGTCGATCAGGTTGCAGTCAGAAAACAACACTTTCATCAGATTAAAAAAAAAACGCTTAAATATTGAGCAGCAAATGTGAATTATTTTATTCTTTTGAGACGTTAAACCTATATTTTTTGGAAAGTATTAGTAGCATTTAGCATATTTCTTTTTATTTATAGAATAAATATACAAACTACAATATGCAACCTGAACTGATTCATAATATGTTGCAAAAGACAGTTTAAAATCTAAGCATCTATAATAATTTTGTCTTTGCTTTATTCATAAAACTAATTTAAAGAAAATGCTTGACTCTGAAGAAAAGAAATATCTGCTGTTAGCATGCATATTTTTCAGTTTGCATTTTTCCCTAAATATACATGAAGAAAAACAATGTTTGCAGTTTCAGAAAAATTGCATAAAGCAAAAATATTTGCATTTTTTAAAAATAGAGGTTTTAACCGTTAGTTTATTATTTGCTTGTTTTGTTTTTAAAATTCATAGTAATAAAAAAAAGCAAAAACACAGAATTTTACCAGAGGAACCAGAAACAACTGGGGAATATAAAACTCAATACAAAAGATAAGCAATTAAAGTAAGTGAACTTAAATACCAGGGAAAGAAATAGAAATACATAAATAAAAAATACGTTCAGTCATTAAAATACAAGTAACCTAAAAGTGATTATCTTCAAGAATGATGTTTGACATTAGCACAAGAATAACAACTACAAATCTGTTAATAAGCTGAGTTTCTAAAACTATGATCATTCACAGGAAGAAAGACTAAACAGAAGTAAAAAAACAAAAAAAAAACAGATGCACTTTTTACCGTTATCAAAAATATGCAACAGAATTTGACAGATTTGAGATTATATCTTGACCAATGTTATCATGAAAGGCCTCTATCCATATAACTATCATGTTATATAACGGAAGGTTGTCTCTTGTGCTCTAAAGGTGGTGCTGTCTGGGTAGAACCACCTCTCTGGGAACACCAGGGGTGCAGAGGAAGCCCATAGCTTTGTGGTCAGTTTGCTGTAATGCTAATGTCACAAACACTAACATCCTAACTTGATGAATGCAGGGGGCTGCACCCTAGTGTCATCCCCCACCAAATGAGGCAAGGACAAGTGGCATTAGTGGCGTCAATGATCCTCTGACAGCCTAACAGATACGGCTTTCACCAGCTTTTCTAAATAGATATCAAGTGCATTATAGGAGGGGGAGGAAGGCAGGCCAAAGACAAGGCAGGATTGGAGAAACATATGGGGAAGGCATTGTCGCAGAGGGATAAGGGACGCTCGGAGTGGTAAGTCCAATCACATAATCCAAGAAGACATTGTCAAGAGAAGCAAGAGAATGGCAACTAAGTGACAGAAAGCAGGGACGGGGACAGAGATACTGGTGCCATATTAGTGCCAAGCATATTCTGATGCCACCCTCAATTCTAACCAAACTTGACACATCGCTCTCTTTCCCGCTCTCTCTGACTCTTCAAAGTAGGCTCCACCAAGTCTCACACACAAACACACAAGTGCACATATGTGGAGAACAGAAATGCACAGGAAGCCACACAGCGCACCAGTCCCTTGCAGCAGTGGTGGGTGTTCTGTCAGGCGGAGGAGAAGTACGGCAGCAGCAGAAGCCCACAGGCCCGGGGACAAGCTCAGTCAATCTAAATCTGGACTTTGTAGTGGAGCAGTGCTCATTTCCCCTCATAGCCCAGCTACTTGAGGTGATCCAAACACTGAAGTGTGAGAAGCTGTCACCTCCCATAAAATCCAAGACCAGCTCCATGCCTGCCTGCTCCCTAGTGTATGAAGGATGTATACATGTGTGTTTTTAGGTGTGCATGAGTGTGTGTGTGTGCTTTTTTTTTTTTTTTGACAGCATGGAGGTTGGAAGCGTAGTGAGTGGGGGGATGAATTCCAGCTGCTGTGATTTGCCTTGGGACAAAGGTGCCATGGTTGTATACTGTTCTTGACACCACAGGACTCAGGGTATCTCACAGCACTCAGACCAAATGGTTGCCAGGGTCTTTCATATATTCACTGTGTACCCAACGAAATACTCGCTCTCCAGGAGCAGGACCCTTAAAAAGATTACCCGCCAAGGCACCAGAACCATGTCTCCAATAAGACATCACCTAGAGGGTATATATTCATAGGTTGCAACCAAAGCCTTTAAGAGATAACCTTCACAGATGAAGGAACTAAACCTAAAGGCCCCACAAGTCTTCACACTCTGCTGAACTCAACTTCAGCCTGTGGGTACTAAGAATGATTGGAGAGGCCACAATGTGAAACTCTCAGGCACCAATTGGAGATGTCTGGACTATGAGTGACCTGTAGCTCTCCAACAGCGCCAATATACACCTCCGTAAAATAAAAAGGAGGAGAAGTAAATTAGGAGTAATGGAAGAAAAAAGATCAGGGATGTGTCTGCTTCCCAGTGGGTGAAAAACTGCCCAAATGTGACAGTTCTCCATTTCTGCACTACATTAAGCACTATGTTGTGTGCATAAACAGCCCTCTCCAGTTTGCTTTCTTCCCCTCACAGCGAGAGGTGCACTTATTACAAGAGAAACCAGGAGAAAGATGGGCTGGCTAGAGATGGGGAAGGGAGTAACTAAGCCAAATTTACTCTTACATAATACCTTCAGAGGCCATGCTTATGCCTCTGGGATTCTGCCTGATGAACCCGTACTTAATAGCAAGTATTACCATGCCAGCACTCAACAATAGCCTCTGTGTATCTAAATGTGCTAATATCACCAACATTGCCACGTTCCAATACATATTTTGATTTTCAGCACAGAAATCATGTGAACCAAGAGAACATTGGGAGCGGCCATTAAAGTGACATATTAACAAAGTTATGAGTAGGCTAATGCTTCCATTATGCCCTGGTAGAGGAACAATCACAGCTTTGTATTACACAGAAGCACAGCAAAAGAAGTTCAGAACATTTCATCCCTGCAGTTGTAGCAAAGTATAAATAATATGAGATATGTATAAGATTTGTATAACCAATAATAAACATACAATGTTGCTTTTCTTGTCTCTTTTACTTTTTTCTGTTCTCATCAATGTGACCAACTGGTGGACATTGATGGTGGTAAACTACATTGCAGCCACAGCTGCCCTGGGCACACTGAAAGAAGCGACTCCTGCATCCTACCCCACTGCTGCCCCAGCATAGTCAGTTTACAGTTTACAAAATATACATTGAGACTGCTGTGTATTCATTTGCTGAGAAAATGTCAATAATATTCACAATAAGAAACCAATCGTACTCAAAATGCTGTGCTCAATTGAAATTCTTATTGAATCCTATTTTAATATAGCAAAACAAGTTAAGTGATTTGTAGAATAAAAAGATGCACAGTAACAGGTATCCTAGTACAGGCTATGATAATTTTGCAGTTTGGGAGGTTGTATCTTACACAAAAAGTATGGGATGGGATTCTTCAACTGAGGTGGAGCATTGAGTAATGGACTACTGTAAGTTAACAGGCTGAAAGGTGCCAACAAATTTTACTGGCTTGCATAAAAAACAAATTCAACCAGAAATATAACCAGGTAAAAAAACATAGCCATGGAATTTAAATTTAATGAATGAAATGAAACACTTCTTAAGGCAGAAATGTTCTGTTGTGATCGTTAACTAACTGGCTGTAAGATAAATAGCTTGAACTTTTAAGTAACCATTATTGGCTTGTCATATCTTGTTACTGTATAACCAGTGGAACAGTTAAAGGGTTAGCAATTTGGTCTTTTCTCTTTAAAATCAAAATATTTGAAAAATGGGAAGTGATCTTTGGAAGGATTGTGGACTTTGTAGGTCTGTCACTAAAAGGGGCAAGAAGGAACAGAGCACCCTGACCTGTAACGGTCTACTTCTTCACCACACCCTGGAGTCAAGAAAGCACCCATAGTCTCTAGTCCGTGGGTAACAAGAATATCTCCGGAAGTTATTAATTCCCAGTGACATCAAGATACACAACTCTGATTCTACTGTCTGTTGGACAATTGTACATCTGACATTTTGATTATCATAATGCTGAACTGTGGACAAATACACCATTTATTGTACACCATATGTGCTGTCTAAATTGGAATTGTTCTTCTTCTCTTCTGAAAAACATGAAATAGAAATTTAAACCAATGGTAATCACATAAGGTGTCCCATTAAGATGTAAAAACATTACAGTCCTAAAAAAAAACAACATGCAGCCATCATACACTCTACATAACATCAAATCTAATGACTGCACGGTTTGTTTTTTTAAAGGACTGAATTTAATGTTGTACTTCACACTTTCCTCAAGTTAACCACTTTTGGTCTGTTTGAAGACTTTTGCGAAATAGGACAGATTACAGTATTTAGGTCACCCTGACCCTTGTGGGCATCAACATCATCAATTGGCCTTTAGAGCTAAGCTACCTGACCTGAAAGTGACAAGTATCAACTAAGTCCATGCTGCTCCTTCCATCTGAGTTTTTCATTGCAATGATAAAATTATACTGCCCAGGAGGCACTTCTGAACCACATCAGGACAGTAATTTAGCAGTCACTACATTTAACAATACATAAAAATATCACAGGGGTCTTGGCTACATTTGAAAATATTCCAGAACTACTCTGATTTTGTCTGTTTACCTTTAAATGTAGAGAGGGGGCCAAGTTCAGGTTAAAGGCAAGACTTGTACCACAATAAAATATGTTAAGACC